TATATATTATTATTATTATTATTATTTTTTTTTTAAATCACAAAATGCATTGAATAATTTTATGCTGTTGCATTTAAGTTGTTTGTGACCTAAATTGTTGCAAATTAATTTTTCTTGTTTAAGTTATCATTGTTAAACTGTTGAGCTTAACAGGCTCAATATTGAAGAACCTATTAAGTAGATCAGCCATTTAAAAAAAAAAGTCTCTTATCATTATGCATGTTTTTAACACATTATCTTCTTGCACATCAGGCTCCTGAATCCTACAAGAACGTCACAGACGTGGTGAATACGTGCCACGACGCCGGCATCAGTAAAAAGGCCATCAAGCTCAGACCGATCGCTGTGATTAAAGGCTGAAACGTCAAGAAGCTGCACGCAAGTTTCTGCATCTCAAATATTTAGCACGTCTGAAGGTGACGTGGCTCAGGCATTGTTTGTGTTTCGTGTTGGGTTCGAGGGTGAACGTTTACACCGAGAGCTACTAAAGTGGAATAAAAGCGTTGCATCAGCGCCTCTGCTTGTTCTCCTGAATCTGCACAAGTACATGAACGCAGCCGCTTCAAATAAACCTCCAGCTGGAAATCAGACGGAGATTAGTAAATACTTTATTGGTCATGACAAAAGATCCACAAAAGGGAGAGGGCCTGTCCCAGCATATCAAAAATAAATCAAGTTTACACAGTCTACCTTTCGTGTCTTTCTCTCCTTTTTGGCATAAACACAGTGGGTCTGACGAGCAGGACCGGAGCTTAACAGGTCAAATCACAGGACGTCTGAAGCAAAGTCTCATGGGTTATGACAGAGAAACAATCTTTAACAGTCATTCTCATGTTAGAAGTTACATGTCAGCTTATGGCAAAGTGCTTCATCCAGTTTGTTTTGGGTTAAGCTTTTTTTCCTTTCATGATTAAAGCCAATGTGATGTTGAGACCCAAGAAACGTTTAGGTCCAAACCTTTGATGGGCGCTTCTGTCTGAAGTGGGATCCAGGGTTGAAAGGGTTAATACACGTGCAGCGCCTCTAAAAATCCAACAGATTGTCAACAGTCATTTTGTCAGCCATAACGAGACTGACGTAAAAGCAGAGAGATATGAACCGAATGTCTCTCTGATGAGAGTTTAAACTTTACACAAAGTACATTTCCAAACAAAAGAATTGCTAGCTGCACAACACTGCAGATCCAAGGATCAAACCACCTCGTAGTATTTTCACAGTTCGTAACATTACATTGCATATTTCAAATGGGCTTCAAAGGCATTAAACGACTGAATCTGAGACTGTGATGGAGCAGATAAACGTTTAGTGTTGGGAAACGATACGGGTTACAGTACAGCTTTGATCGGAATGCCATATGATATGGAAAATTAGAGGGGACTGCTGATGATGTAGCGGTTCATGAACAATTAAGGTAAAAAAAAAAGAAAAGAAAAAAAGACATTTTCCATTCCAAAAAGCAAACAATTTGCCAGGTTGAGCCTACATCAAGAGCACTTCTATTTGTTAACCTCATCACATCAAACTAAAACCTATGCTTCATTTATGCAAGTAAAAAGAAAAACGAAAAATTTGCAATGAAATATTCTTAAACCGGCCCTTCTTACGCTGAAATTTGAGAAAAATCCAGATTTCTAGCATACAAAAAAAAATAAACATTTCATTAAACCCATTCTAGAATTTTCTGTAACATGTAAGTTATATTTCCAAACAATTGTTGTATTTCAAATGGAAACGCATTTTCCCTTGAAATTCTGTCCAGGACTGAAGCCCCGCCCACCCTCACAAACCCCACCTACAGTATGGCGTCTCGTCCAATCGCAGACGTTGCCTCTGGTCTGGGTTGCTAAACCTCCATGCACAACTCTGATTGGGCCAAGGTCGGTGTGGGGGCGTGGTCACGTCACATGACAGCCAATCCCCACGTAACTCCTGTTGGGGGTCCGTGTCCCACAGACAGGATGGGTGTGGTTACGCTTCTTTAAGTGCAAAAGTAGCTCCTATGCTAAGCTCTGTCGTTATGGTGGTCTGTAAGTGGCTCCGCTTGACAGTTCCAGTTTTAAAGTTTGGCCTGCTGGAAAAAAACCTGCACACACACAATAGAAGTGTGTTAAAACGGCCACATAAAACCTAACACTCAATGGTATATGAAGACAACATGAAGGCTCCTGAAATACCTTCATGTAGTTTTTCAGAACCTTAACATCCGGCTGCTGAAGCAC